CATCTGTAGTGGTCTGGGAGAGTTCAATTCCTGGTATTGAGTTTGTGTGGGTGGGTCATAAATTACCTGTAACTTCAGCCCCAGATGAATCCAACACTCTCTTCTGGACTCTTTGGACACTGCACTCAGGTGTGCAAACATACAATTATAAACACATATTTAACTTAAAAATGTATCTAAAAGAAAAAATGGATTGCTAATTTTCCCCTCATCCTTATTTCATGGAAATAAATGAAGATGAGGTAATTAAATTTACTATTAGAAAAAAAAATCTAATGGGCACATTAATATCAACACCTTCAATATTATATGTGTTTGAGTGATTGAGTCATTAGAGCAATGTAGACGTCCTTCTGATTTAATTCTGAAGTGTGTTTCAGTCTCCTCTACTTCTATGAACATACTTCTTCATTATTCAGCTATTTGCACCACAGTAATCCCAGTCAACATTAATAGTTCCTGCCATGTAGGAGGCAGAGGCCTAACATGAATTCTTTCAATCCTCACACTAACACTGTTTTCATCCCTTGTTTTGGAATATTTGTCTAACTATGCAAAGATGTGTTGCTGTTTTACCTTGCCTACCTGAGGCACCTGATTGGGTTAATAAAAAGCTGAATAGCCAATAGGAAGGGAGGAGGGATAGGTGGAACTTGCAGGCAGGGAGGGTAAGGAGGGAGAGGAATTTAGGCTTGAGGAGAAAGGGGAGGACAGGCAGACGCCAGGGGCCAGAAAGCCAGACACTGAGGAAACAGGACAACAGGACGCACAGAATGTAGAGGAATAGAAACAGGTTAAACTAAGTTAAAAGAGCCAGTGGGGAGCCAGGTGGTGGTGGTGCCTCCCAGCACTCAGGAGGCAGAGGCAGGTGCATCTCGGAGTTCAAGGCCAGCCTGGGCTACAAGATCTAGTTCCAGGACAGGTTCCAAAGCTACAGAGAAGCCTTGTCTTGAAAAAAATAAAATAAAAAATAAATAAATAGGCTGGGCGGTGGTGGCGCACGCCTTTAATCCCAGCACTTGGGAGGCAGAGGCAGGCGGATCTCTGTGAGTTCGAGACCAGCCTGGTCTACAAGAGCTAGTTCCAGGACAGGCTCCAAAGCCACAGAGAAACCCTGTCTCGAAAAAGAAAAAACAAAAAACAAAAAAATAAATAAATAAGCAAGCTAGTGGGACAAGTTTAAGCTAAGGCCAAACATTCACAATAAATAATAAGTCTCTGTGTTTTTATTTGGGAGCTGGTTGGTGGCCCAAAGAAAACCCCAACTACAATCCCCACTTTCAGACTGTGCAGAGGTTAAGTAACTTGCCTAAGGTCACACTTTGGTGAAAGAGTTGAAGCTGTGCAGGAACCTTCTCCCATTTCCAGATGATGCAGAGGTTAACTAATTTGCCTAAGGTCACACTTCTGTGTAAGAGTTGAAGCTGTGCAGGAACATTCTGACTCTGTACTGTAGCAAGCTTCTTGTTGGTCCGTCTTTGGACCGCCAGCCCGCAAATAATGACCTGGAGATGATGTATTAGTTGTAAAAGCTTGTCCTTAGCTTAGGCTTTTCCCCAACTAGCTCTTATAATTAACCCATATTTTTTAAATCTACATTCTGCCACATGGCTTGGTTACCTCTTCTTAGTCTAGCACATTTGACTTGCTCTGGTCTGCTGGCAAAATTCCACCTAGATTCCTCCTCCCAGTTTCTCTTTCTCTCTTATACGTCCCACCTATTCTCTCCTGCCTAGCTATTGGTCAGTTAGCTCTTTATTAAACCACCCAGAAGGCGCCTTAGGCAGAGACCCACAGTGTAAACAAATATTCCAGTCACACTGGACCACAGCGGTTTAGGAACGCGGGATTAGTCAGAGTAGCTGTCAAGTGGCTGGATTATTCAACCAGCAGGATGCCCTACTTCTCACGTCCTTCAAAAGGGTATTTTAATATCCTGCTGGATTACAGCATCTTTGGCTTTCTAAGACATATTCATGAGGCACTGGACATTTTTCCTTCACTGTGTCTTTCTTTGTGACTTATAAGAAAGTGGCCTAGATTTCTACAACCTGGAAGCAGATTCTTCCTCAGGCTCTCATTTTCTTATGTTGAGTGTTTCCACTTCCTGAGGGTAAACAACAGTACCCCTTGCCTGGGGTCTGGATTAATGGGAGTGGGCTTACCCTGTATGGACACCCTGGGTTCAAGCACCCCCTTATCAAAACCTTTATTGGAGTCACATGGTCGGCCTTACCCCATCAGTCTCCACTGGGGCTTCTTGCCTCAGCCACTTTGACGTTAAGCTCCTCCCATCACCTGGCCTCTAGGCAGACACTGCCTGGGACTGGTACACCTATCTCATTATCGGCACCCAAGCCAACCCTCCTCATCTTACCCATCAGGTCAGGTCTGTTCCCCATTTTACAATCTCTCCCAGCATCTTGGACTTTTTTCCTTAAGCGTCTATGAAAATGGGGCTTGAGTCATGTCTCTCTGGTTCTCAGAGTAAGCTCCATGTGGGCAGGGACTGTGAGTTTGTCTTCTTTATTGCTGACTCCCAGCTCTTAGTCCACACCTTAGCACATAGTTGGCACCAAATACATGTTTGTAAACAGGAAAAGCACTACCAGTAACCAGCTAACGAGGAAATCTCAAGACTCCCGGACTTTGCCTGATGGCTGGGTGTGGAAGGCTTGTCTAGACACAACACAGAGCGCAGTTAGCAGAGAGGCCGGCAAACCAGAGGCTAACTCAATATACATATGACATGCAAGGCTGTTTTTAAAGGTTTTTTTTTTGGTTTTTATTTTCTATACAGTTTTTACATGACTAGACAATATTAGAGATAAAAATCATGATTTTGCGAGGAACAGTGAGCATAGTCCAACTTTGACAGTCTTGAAGAATAGTCGGCTCACAACACAGAGATCCGAGCCTAAAGAGACATAATGATTTGATGACATTCTTTGTTTCCCAAGTGGGCACGGGGTTATCAGGGTTCACTCTGTGGTGGCTCTTTTCTTCCCCCCCCCCCCATCCCCCGCAGGTATTTTCATCTCCCAGGGATTCCTCGAAACAGTCTTCCGTGGAGTGCTGCTCTTCTGGCCTTGGCGACGAAGAAACGTTTCCTCTTTGAAAGCCTGGGAGTTTTGAACCCTAAGCGTTGCTATAGAGGAAGCAATCAAATCTATCAGGAGGGCTCTGTCCTCCACCCAGCGCGCTGCTTCCTGTTTTTCAAAAATGCTTTCTGACCCTCCCGTGAAGTGTTCGGAAGAACCAGGATTGCTAGTGACTTTTAAGAGACCATGTCATGTCCATCACCCATCCTCACGGAAGCGAGCACACTTTGGAAATCATGATTTGACAGGGAGCCACAGTCCGCAGTTCCCAAGTGTGACAAGTGTACTAACCCTACTTCGGACAGAGTAACTTGCTTTTGTCAAAGTTTCCCAAACTCTCGGAGCCCTCAGGCCTAACCACCTTAGGAAATGTCGTTTCCCAAAGGCAGGTAGCCTCACAAGGTGACCGTCTTCTCAAGCCTCCAACACCGACAGAACTTTCCTCTCTGCGGGTCACTCCCACAGCTCGGGGCCGCCGCCCGCCAGCGCCAGCAGCCTAAGGGGGAACCACCGAGCGCGCCTCCAGCCACTGCCGGTGCCGCCACGCCCACCACGCCCGCCGGTCCCGCCCCGCCGCGCGCCCGCCGTCACACGGCCCGTGATTGGCTGGTGGCGCTGCCCGTCTCGCGGGGCGAGCGCGTCGCTCTCAGACCCGCGCTTCTATTGGTCACGGCGGCGGCGGCAGCGCGTGGATCCACCGAGGAGGGGGAAAGCCGGTGGTGGCCGCGGTGGCGGAACGGGCGGAGGCTCCCGGTTTCGTAACCGTCGCTCCTCCTTGCCGTCTCGCGGGCTGCGAGGCCTGGGTCGGGTCGGGCCGCGCCGCGCGGGGCCGCTCGGAGTGGAGGCCGCCTGGGGGCGGGCGGGCCGGCCGGAGGTGCAGGTAAGGAGGCCGCGGGCTCTCGCTCGGAGGGGTCTAGGGAGGAGGCCGCGGTGGAGCCCGCCGCTTGCGTAGGCGGCGGCCCGGCCCGGCGAGACCCGGCCCTGCCCGAATCGGCAGGCTGGCCCGGAAGGCCCCTGGCGGCTGGTGGCGCGGGCGGGGGCCCGGAGCGGCGTCTGATGCAACCTGCGGGCAACACCCGGCGGGGCTGAGCTCATCTCTGGCCGCGGCCCAGCGCCGCCTCGCATGGCGCCGACCCCCGCGCTCCCCCCCCTCCCCGGGCGCCCCTCGCCCCAGTCGGGGAAGGGATGGAGGACCAGGTGGCCCCTCCAGAACCCGGCCCCCTGCGACGTGCAGCGTGACAAGCCCGGCGCGCATTGGCCCCTGGGGATGGAGGGTGTTCCTAGAATAGAAGGTGGACCGAATCTTACTTTGGAGCCACCTAGGACTCTTTCCTGTCGCTTCCCAAACATCTCGGACGTGGGGTGGGCCCGGGTCCTATTTGGAGTTAATAATCTAGTGGCCACCTAGGGAAAACACTCGATTTCTAAACACATAACGTTGTAAGAGGGGTGTTTGGCTTTGGTTCTGGAGACGGTCGCGTGTCCTGCAGTCCACTGGGAGGGGGAGGGCATCCTAGATCGCCCATCGACCACCAGTTCACTAGAAGCAGAAGGGAGTCATTAAACCTTTCCTTAGCACGGCTGGAGGGAACGCGGGAAAAGAGCCAGCGGAGGTATCCAGGTGGAGAGGTCGGGCGTGCATGTGTGAGGGGAAGGATGGTCTGTTTCTCCGAGTGCGCTTGGGTGTCTGGTCCTAAGAACGTTGGCATGTTTAGTTTTGCTCTTGTTTGAGTTGGTGTGTGTGCGTTTGTGTGTGTGTTGTTTCGGTAAGCTGCATCATAAGATGTGTCAATTTTAGAAAGGTTTTAACCTTTGTGGGTTGCACAACATCTGGGGGTTGTGTCTCCGAGTTTCCACCCACTTGAATCCTTATTTGAATGCAGACCTGTCTTCACAGGGGAAAATTTGAGATAAAGCACCGTAAGGGCTTTCTTGACTGAGGAATTCTACATAGAAGAGTTGATTGCATGGCCGGGCAAGCCCCTCCACCACTGAGCCACCCTCCTAGGCTTCTCTAAGGTCTGTTCAGCTGTTGCCACTTGAGTAGTATTTTTGATAAGCAACCCCTGGGGTTATTTACCTGTTTCTGAAAAACTAACTAATGACAGGATGCTGTTGAGCTGTTTCCTGCCTCTGGTGGCCATGCTCTACTGGCTCAGTTATTTTTATTACCTATCAGAAACAAATAAGTGGGAACAGACGCCACCCCTCCCCCAGTATAAGTTCTCCCAAGCAAGTCCTGATTGTCAGCCAGGCTCTGTGATCTTGGAGAGCTGCTTTCATCCCTGGTAAATTAAATGATCCCCGGAAAAGCCCCTGGGAACATTCCCTCCTGAGCTCATGAGAAAGAGACACAGGGCCTGGTCCAGAGTTGCCTCACTCAGTCGCAGTAGTGATTGCTATGGCAGTTCTAGGTTTTCCTCTGTGGGGTGGTTGCATAGGTTCTTAACACTATTATTGGTCCCCTACCCACCCTGTTGCCCTGCCCTGCCATTAAAGAAGAAAGGAGGGGGGGGGAGACCTGAACAAGATCTAATAAATACAAATCTATAAACAAGGTTTTTGTTTTGGATGTGATAAATAATACTGTGAGTAGGTTTAAGGGATAGTACCCAAACAAGCATGTATTTTCTTCCCATCCTCCAGTGGAACACTTCACAGGACTCTTTGAGGGAGTGTCCTCTCCTTCATGGACCCTGCCTCCAACAGTCTCCATGGAGACACAGTGAAGCTGGAGTTGCCAAAGAAACTTGGGGAGCAGAAAGGACAGAAAGCACAGAGAAGACAGACCACTTGGAAGACACTTGGTAGTATAGTGGTCTTGAGTTGGGCGTAAGGAAGCAGGAACTGTAGAGGGCTAGGACATGAACTTTGGAGTCACAGACACTGATTTTTCAGGAGCAAGATGTGACATAATTAGGTTTGAGTAGAAGATTGCCCTACATCAGCAGCTCAGCCTGTGGGTCTCAAGCCTTTTGGGGGTCGGACAATCAAAACTTTCACAGGGGTCATTTAAGATTGAAAAAAAAATTTTATATTACGATTCAATACAGTAGCAAAATTACAGTTATGAATTGGCTATAAAGATAATCTTATGGTTGGGGTCAGCACACCATGAGGACCTGTATTAAAGGGTCGCAGCGGTAGGAAGGGTGAGAACCACTGCCCTAGCTAGTCTAGATAGTGAGTGCTTGGGGAGCTCAGGCTACTATACCTGAGATTAGGGCCCCTGAGAGATGATGTCAGCCTGAGGTAATTTCTGTGGCATTAAGAGGGACAATAGATGTGATGATATATTTTTGTTTGTAAATTTGAAGACTCAACCTTCATTAAGGAAATTCAGTAAAAAAATTATTTTGAGAGGCCAATGGGGGAAATATGTGATTCTATCCAAATTTATGAAAAAAAAAGACAAGCTCGGAAAATTCTGTACAGGTTTATTGTTCCAAGTAAAAAATGAGAAAAATCCTATATTATTTTACTATTCTAGCATTTTAGTGTTTCATTGTTTTATTCTTTTGAAAGAACATTACTTGAATTAAATTTGCATTTGATAAAGAAGTGTTAACTCATTTCATTTAGCCCCACATTCTTAAGATTCATTGTTTGTATGCAGCCATAGCTCTCCTTTGTCAGTGCCACCAAAATCAGTTGGGAGCACCCTGAAAGAAAACTCCGTCCTTGGTCTGGCAGCCTGAGAACTGGCACTTGTAAGAGTTGCTGGTGTTCGGTCCAGAGACCACTTTGAGGTCTGTTGTTCCTCAGCTTTCCTGTTGCTTCTTGGGTGATTGACAAGTACAAGGAAGGAGGCACCACCCAGCTTCCTGTGGACTGAACTTTGGAATAGACTAGTCCATTCAGGAGCCAGACTTTGAGTTAGGGTTAAATATCGAGATACTAAATGTCAGACTGCTTTGCTGTAGAGCTCAGTAAATGTTTGTGAAAGGAACAAAAGTATACATAACAAGTGTCTGTTCAGTGCAGACGTTTGTGATCTGTTAGAAGCTTGGTAAATTAGGTACTTGGCCCAGCGGTGCTGGCACACGCCTTTGATCCCAGCAATTGAGAGGTAGACAGGCAGATCTCTGTGAGTTCGAGGCCAGCCTGGTTTACAAGAGCTAGTTCCAGGACAGGCTCCAAAGCTACAGAGAAACCTTGTCTCGAAAAACAAAGTTAGTTACTCCTTAATCCTCTGTCTACTCTTCATTTTAAGAGTTACTTTTTTGACTTATCTACTGGTTGAAGATTTGTTTGTTTTTTGTTTTTATTTTTATTTTCCAAGACAGGGTTTCTCTGTGTAGGGCTGTCCTGGAACTTTCTCTGTAGACCAGGCTGACTTTGACTCACAGAGATCTGTCTGCCTCTGCTTTCTGAGTGCTGGGATTAAAGGCATGTGCCAACACTGCCCGACTTTTTTTTTTTTTTTTTAAAAAAAAAAGAAAGGATCTCTACATAGCCCTGGCTGTCTTGGAACTTGCTTCGCAGACCAGCAGAGCACATTAACCTCAAAGCTCACAAAGATCCGCTTGACTCCACCTCCCAAGACTGGCTTTAAAGGCATGCACCACTTTGTCCAGCCTACTTTTTTATTTTTTGACAATCATGAGTTACTTTTTATTTCTACTCCTTTTTTCTTGCAACTTTGTAGGTTCAGTAAACAATATTCTTGTTTTTCTAGCCCAAAGGTGCACTCAAAACCTCTCCTTTGTTCTGGTTAGCATCTTAGTAAGATTGTTTAGAACCCTTCCCCATTCTTGTATTTTGGTTCAGAAATAGGCAGGACATCACTGAATTTGAAGCCTGTTGTGAGTAAGTTGTTAGTGACTGGAGTTCATGGTATTTTGTTCATTGGGCATTGTACCATTTCCACGTCTCTTGTATGGATGGGCAGTTAATGCTTGCAGGAGGGAAGGGGTATGTCCGGGGTAAAAATGAGGTAGCCAGAGCCAAGGAAAGATTTGATCTGGTGTCTAGTTGCACTTCTTTGGATTGTTGGCTGTTTCTGAGCTAGGACAGATTGACTGTAGAGATTGGTTCTGAAGAAGAATATAAGAAATAGAATCCCAGGAGAGGCATTAAATCATACAAGTCTTTAAAGTTGGATTAAACATTATACCAACTTGATAAGCAACAGTGTTCCATGGCAGCTAGGGTGGCTTAATACCCACTTCTTATTTTTTAATTAATTTGTTTACTTTCTGTATTTTGAACAGCCACCTTTTAAGTGGGAGAAAAATTAGGCCACATAATCATTTTCAAGGGAAATTGTGAAATGTCTGTTATTGAGCGTAACTTGGAGTCCATATCCATCATGGCTTGGAAGGAAGCTTTCTGTCTTGCTTTAGTGCTGGAGTAAGAACAGATGACCCACTAGCTCAGGGCTGGCTAAGTGGCTTTTTAAAAACAATTCAAAGTAATGATATATGGACATTTAAAGGCAAAGATTAATAGTAATAAATAATAAAAGGCCAACTTAATAAGCATGCGTGAAGGAAGGCTTGACCAAAGTTTGAGTGAAGCTGATTATGTTTACTGACTGGACTGGTGTTTACACTGGGTGTACTTATTGGGGCATTTTCCTAACTCTGGTGAACTTCCCCAGCTTTGTCCATTGATGTTGTTTTAGCAGTTCTGGAAAAAGAGAGCCGGGCATACACTTGTAAGGGTACTGTGTCTCCTAGTGGACACAGCTGACTCAGCTGTTCAGTTTGTAGTGACCTGTCCTCTATGGCCGGGGTCGGTGGGGTATGCTTTCACACTCCACAGTTCACGGGTGACCAGAGGGGTTAGTTACAGCCACAGCTAGCCAGCTCTCAGTGGTTTCTCCACAGAAGTGTTTCAGTGTCTGCTGAGCTCCCTGCGGGAGAAGTGGGTCCCAACACTGGCTGCATTTGTCCTTGGTTCTGCCTGGGTTCCTTGACTGTATCGTTAGAACATTGTTTCTTCATCAGCATGTTTAGGCCAGTGGTTCTCAACCTTCCTGATGCTGTAACCGACCCTTTAATACAGTTCGTTATGTTGTGATTCCCCCAACCATAACATTTTTGTTGTTACTTCATAACTGTAACTTTGCTACTGTTATGATTTATAATGTAAGTATTTTTTGGAGATAAAAGTTTGCAGAAGGGATTGCAGCCTGCATGTTGAGAACTGCTGGACTATTCGATTCTGTCAAGAATAAAAACAGATGCAGGCTGGAATGGGGGTACTTTATTGGATGTCTCTGTTCCCAAATACAAGAACCCAATTGAGTAAATTTCAGTAAACTATCATATAAGGTGTGATAAAAATGTAAAAAGGCAAATCAACTAACCAACTCAAAATACCTTGCCTTAAAAAATAGCCCATAATAGGTGAAGAAGTCACCCTGGGAATATTGAGTAAGGGATGTGCTGCCATCATAGCCGCACACTGGGTTCTGCAGACTGAAACACCCCCCTCTCATTGTAGGTGTCCCTTTTACAATATTGAACTTGCTTTTCCATGCTCACTCCATCCAGACAGCTCAGTCCAAGTGCTGTTAGCTCACGTGTGCTACCTAATTTGTGTTATGCTTTTGTTTTTTCCTCCCCTTATTGATAATCACATCTATGCCCAGGTGGGGCTGGCCTTCAGCTTATGGTGTTTCTGAACCAACTTATCTTTTGAAATTTGGAAACACTGCAATAGTTGGCAGTTGTGTCAGAAAAACCAAATAATGGTTGCCTGCAATAGGTCCATCAAGTTTAATCTCACTTGATCCTGTCATTTCAAATATTTTAATGCAACTTATTTTCTAACTAGGTACATGTGAAGATTTTTTGGCAGTTGAGTGTGGCCTCTGCTGATCACATTGCTTTGGTTTCTGCCTGTTCTGTGTTGGCAAAGGAACACGCCCAAATGAGCAAGCTGTCGCAGCCAGCCACTACTCCAGGAGTGAATGGAATAAGTGTCATTCATACTCAGGCCCATGCCAGTGGCTTACAGCAGGTTCCTCAGCTGGTGCCCGCTGGGCCTGGGGGAGGAGGTAAAGCTGTGCCTCCAAGCAAGCAAAGCAAAAAGAGCTCACCCATGGATCGAAATAGTGACGAATATCGCCAGCGCAGAGAGCGGAACAATATGGCCGTGAAGAAGAGCCGGTTAAAAAGCAAGCAGAAAGCTCAAGATACGCTGCAAAGAGTGAACCAGCTCAAAGAAGAGAATGAACGGTTGGAAGCCAAAATTAAGTTGCTGACAAAGGAATTAAGTGTACTGAAAGATTTGTTTCTGGAGCATGCACACAACCTCGCTGACAACGTGCAGCCCATCAGCACTGAAACTACAACGACAAATTCTGATGACACAGGGCAGTAGATCTCCTTCCAGGCGCCACAGCTTTGTGGCTTGAACATGAGAGGTGTGACCATCCTGTACTGCCTGGTTCCATGGCTGAGCTTGGTCTTGTTCCATTGGAGGTTATTTTCTAGGCTCAGCACTGAACAGTCGATTAGCCATGTAATTTATCTGGTCTTAAATGATAATGGATTTTTGAAGCACTAAAAGAAGACTTAGGGTTTATGGTTAAAACAAAATTCCTGGACCTTAATATTCTTAATAAATCCTGACTTCCCCAGAAATGCATCTTTTTTTAGGAATGGGAAAGTGGAGGGGCATATAGAAGGTTTTGGGTTTTAATGAGACAAAACTGTGGATTAAGAAAAGCTGGATTCCATCTGTGTTCCTCGATTTGTGATTTTGTTTAAATTGTGTATTGTAAATTCTAGGGCTTCAGAAACCAATCATAATAATTTGGCCCTGTTTTACAGCTAGTATAAACTTGTGTTACCATAATTGGCATTGTTTATCCCAACAAGTACATATTTTTTAAAAATGACTTCAGGCAAAGTAAAGAAATCCCATTCAGGTCATGTCAAAATACAAATTGCATTTAGGAATGAAAGAAGTGCTCCCTGCCCTTTGTGTGTTTTAAAGGGCATAGAGTGGAATTGAGTTTTGGGGTCCTTTGGTTTATTGGATTAGCATTATCTTGTGTCCTAAAAAACAGTATCTACTGTGTACTGACAGTTTAGTTTCTGTGGATGCTGATCAAGGTAGCGTTTGTTTTAGGGGGGGAACCATTTTCTGACAGCCAAGTTAGTAAGTGAAACACCTTGGCTTGATGATACAGACCATGATTTAGAATACTAATTTATGCTGGGCACCTGTAGTCCCAGCACTAGGAAGACAGAGGCAGATGGATCTCTGTGAGTTCAAAATCAGCCTGCTCTACAGAGTGAGTTCAGGACAACCAGGGCTACACAGAGAAACCCTGTTTCAAAAACAACAAAAGAAAAGAATACCAATTGATTTGGTTTCTCCCGTGTTCAGAATAACTCCCAACGGGGCCATGATTTTTTAAAGGCATAGTTTTTTTTTGTGTGTTCTTGTGTGAAGAGGCACGTTTTGGCATTTGATCTCAACTAAATGATTATTAGAAAAATGTGTCAACTTCATGACATCTCTCAAAAGAATAGTCAAAGAAAACTTGAAAGTATAAGGTTTCAATCTTTAATTTATTTACTAAATCTTTTTATCCTTTTTTGAGGAATTTCTTTTCTAGTTTAGTGGGGTGTTCTTCCAGACTTGATGTTTCATTGCCCGTTTATCCATTAGTATGCTTTTATGTTCTGTATAAATTATTTTAGAGAGAAGAAGCTGATAAAACTCAGGATATTGACTTTGTTGTGAACTCAGAGCCGCTAGGGTGTCTCTAGGGTCCGCTTTGTCAGTGCTGCAGTGTAGATTGTCTTGGTAACTCACAGTTTTTGCACACTTCCAGCTAGTTTGTTGGTTCCTGAGAGGGTGCCGAAAATATGAGTCTTGCATGATCACAGTTTGTGTTGCTGGGAATCTTGCTTGAACATGGTCATTTCTGGCCTGGTTTCCTACTAAGACTTGGTTACTGCACCCCAGTATAACTCAGGTTGCTCCCTGAGTGTGGCAGAAGAGTGCGGATTCTTCTGTGCAGAAGCTGTTGGTGCCCTGCAGCTCAGCAAAGGCTTTTAGGGCCACTGTGCTGAAGACAGGAGTTGACACTGTTCTTAGGGAACCAAGAAATGAGAGGGGTTCTTAAAAGTTAGGGTCCAGCACCAGTTTACCTTGGTTGTAATAGCCATCACTTACAAAGATTGATAGATGTTTTATATAGCTAACAAGGATGCACCCATACAATTCTAATCTTTACTACCTGATTGATACTATGTAGTGAACTTAATGGGAGATACAGTTAGGTCCTGGTTGAACATGTAAGAACCTACAGTAGGTACACAGACATTGGAAACTCTTACTTTCAAACACCAGCTTTCACAAATGGATGTTCTCATGGAATTTGTGGTTACTGGTGCGAGGATGTAAGCCATAGGGAAGGCAGTGCTCAATATTTCTAATCAGAAGATACAAATCAGTTCTAACTAAATGCTCTTAACCTTTGTAAATCAGATGGTTAGCACAAGCAAGCAGTTCCACATAGAACACAAATGTTAGCTGGCCTTGGACTTTCTTACTAAAGTGAAATGATGTTCAGCTTGATGGAGTTCTTAGTGTAAAATTGAAGGGAACTAAGTTTGGGGAGTGGGTAAGTTTAGGACTTTGGAGATAGCTTGTTACTGGGGAACCTTTAGAGTGATCTGCCTTGTGGATAGGCCTCAGTGTGGATTAGCCACACCTGTGTCCCCTGGGGTGGCTGCAGAGGGAGGGATCAGAGCTTCCCTTCTGTCCTGGCCCTTTGTGACAGGTGACCTTGGAATCTTCATTAGGGTTTTATTAAAATGTGACCCGGGATTTGAAATCCAGGTCATGAGTCCACTCATTTTCTGTAGTTCTCAATCTATGGAAGTAGAAACATGTACAGTTTGATAAGGAACTGCAGCAGCTTTTGATGTTTCTTAGCCGCTCCTGCCCCCTGGGCTGAAGCTTCGTGCCTGAACAACCCTTGTAGCACCTAGAGTGCTTCTGATGCCTTAGAAATAGGAATGATACCTGTGTATTTGACAGGCTAGGTAAGATTCCATACAGCTAATCAGATCTGCCTCTCAGGAAAAATACTAACTTGTTCTTTTTGTTTCTGGCTTTCAGTTTGTGAGATTACTCTATTTTTTTAAGTATAATTTTATTTCTTCAATGAATTTAAAAATAAAACACCTTTGGAACAATGACTGGATTTCTTTGTGGTTTTCTTTATCTTGGAAGTAAGCAAGAAGTTCACTTGTAATTGGCCCCAAAGAGCCTGCAAGGTACCTCCTGCTGCTGTTCTGGGCTGGGCTGGGGGACATGGTCAGGAGGGTGCTTTTGTACAAGTTTGGATTTCCTTGAGTAGACAGTGAAGTAGTTTTCTCTAAACTTGGAATGCATCTTCAATTGTTTGGTCTAACTTAAAACTGCATCCTGGAGTAGGGGACATGATGAAAGGGGCTGTCTCCTGCTAGTTCCTGCCTATGGTTTCCTTCTGAGGCCTGTCCCTAACAGCACAGCTGAGTGCGAGCACCATCTACCTACATGGTGCCTGGGTATGGAAGTGAATTAGCTGATTTCAGAAATATCGTGGGCCCATGAAACCAGTTTGAATTGTGTGTTTCAAGGAAAACAATTAGATGCTTTCCTCTGGTTCTGTGAGTCTCTTTGTGTTTGGGGATGTAAGTTTCTGACTGTTGTATGATCATGAAAACTGTGTGGCTGAGTGGTGGAGCACATTTATAATCCCAGCATTATACAAAAGAAGGATTTTGGATTTTAGGCTAGCGTGAGTACTGTTGAGACCTTGCTTTTTTTTTTTTTTAAACAAAACTGGTCAGTGGTGGCGCATGCCTTTTTTTTTCAATTATGAATTTTTTTATTTTAATTTATTTATTAAAGATTTCTGCCTCCTCCCCGCCACCGCCTCCCATTTCCCTCCCCCTCTCCCGATCAAGACCCCCTCCCTCATCAGCTCAAAGAGCAATCAGGGTTCCCTGACCTGTGGGAAGTCCAAGGACCACCCACCTCCATCTAGGTCTAGTAAGGTGAGCATCCAAACTGCCTAGGCTCCCCCAAAGCCAGTACGTGCAGTAGGATCAAAAACCCATTGCCATTGTTCTTGAGTTCTAAGTAGTCCTCAATGTCCACTATGTTCAGCAAGTCCAGTTTTTTTTTTGTTTTTTTTTTTTTTTTGGTTTTTCGAGACAGGGTTTCTCTGTGGTTTTTTGGAGCCTGTCCTGGAACTAGCTCTTGTAGACCAGGCTGGTCTTGAACTCACAGAGATCCGCCTGCCTCTGCCTCCCGAGTGCTGGGATTAAAGGCGTGCGCCACCACCGCCCGGCGAGCAAGTCCAGTTTTATCCCATGCTTTTTCAGACCCAGGCCAGCTGGCCTTGGTGAATTCCCGATAGAACATCCCCATTGTCTCAGTGTGTGGGTGCACCCTCGCGGTCCTGAGTTCCATGCTCGTGCTCTCTCTCCTTCTGCTCCTGATTTGGAACTTGAGATTTCAGTCCGGGGCTCCAATGTGGGTCTCTATCTCTGTCTCCTTTCATCGCCTGATGAAGGTTAATATTCAGGAGGATGCCTGTGTTTTTCTTTGGGTTCACCTTCTTATTTAGCTTCTCTAGGCTCAATGTCCTTTATTTATGGCTAGAAACCAAATATGAGTGAGTACATCCCATGTTACTCTTTTTGGGTCTGGCTTACCTCACTCAGGATAGTGTTTTCTATTTCCATCCATTTGTATGCAAACTTCAAGAAGTCCTTGTTTTTTACTGCTGAGTAGTACTCTAATATGTATATATTCCATACTTTCTTCATCCATTCTTCCATTGAAGGGCATCTAGGTTGTTTCCAGGTTCTGGCTATTACAAACAATGCTGCTATGAACATAGTAGAGCATATACTTTTGTTGTATGATAAGGCCTCTCTTGGGTATATTCCCAAGAGTGGTATTGCTGGGTCCAGGGGTAGGTTGATCCCGAATTTCCTGAGAAACCGCCACACTGCTTTCCAGAGTGGTTGCACAAGTTTGCATTCCCATCAAGCAATGGATGAGTGTACCCCTTTCTCCACAACCTCTCCAGCAAAGGCTATCACTGGTGTTTTTGATTTTAGCCATTCTGACAGGTGTAAGATGGTATCTTAAAGTTGTCTTGATTTGCATTTCCCTGATCGCTAAGGAAGTTGAGCATGACCTTAAGTGTCTTTTGGCCATTTGAACTTCTTCTGTTGAGAATTCTCTGTTCAGCTCAGTGCCCCATTTTATAATTGGGTTGATTAGCCTTTTACGGTCTAGTTTCTTGAGTTCTTTATATATTTTGGAGATCAGACCTTTGTCAGTTGCGGGGTTGGTGAAGATCTTCTCCCAGTCAGTGGGTTGCCTTTTTGTCTTAGTGAGAGTGTCCTTTGCTTTACAGAAGCTTCTCAGTCTCAGTAGGTACCATTTATTCAATGAGGCCCTTAATGTCTGTGCTGCTGGGGTTATACATAGGAAGTGGTCTCCTGTGCCCATGTGCTGTAGAGTACTTCCCACTTTCTCTTCTATCAGGTTCAGTGTGTTCAGACTGATATTGAGGTCTTTAATCCATTTGGACTTGAGTTTTGTGCATGGTAATAGATATGGATCTATTTTCATTCTTCTACAGATTGACATCCAGTTTTGCCAGCACAATTTGTTGAAGATGCTCTCTTTTTTTCCATTGTATACTTTTAGCTCCTTTATCGAAAATCAGGTGTTCATAGGTTTGTGGGTTAAAGTCAGGGTCTTCTATTCGATTCCATTGGTTGACTTCTCTGTTTTTATGCCAATACCAAGCTGTTTTCAATACTGTAGCTCTGTAATAGAGTTTGAAGTCAGGGATGGTAATGCCTCCAGACGATTCTTTATTGTATAAGATTGTTTCGGCTATCCTGGGTTTTTTGTTTTTCCATATAAAGTTCATTATTGTCTTCTCCAGATCTGTGAAGAATTTTGATGGGATTTTGATGGGGATTGCATTGAATCTATAGATTGCTTTTGGTAGAATTGCCATTTTTTACTATGTTGATCCTCCCAATCCAAGAGCAAGGGAGATCCTTCCATTTTCTGGTGTCCTCTTCAATTTCTTTCTTCAAAGACTTAAAGTTCTTGTCAAATAGATCTTTCACTTCCTTGGTCAGAGTTACCCCAAGATATTTTATGCTATTTGTGGCTATCGTGAAAGGTGATGCTTCTCTGATTTCCCTCTCTGCTTCCTTATCCTTAGTGTATAGGAAGGCAACTGATATTTTGGAGTTGATTTTGTATCCTGCCACATTACTAAAGGTGTTTATCAGCTGTAGGAGTTCTTTGGTAGAGTTTTTGGGGTCACTTATGTATACTATCATATCATCTGCAAATAACGAAAGCTTAACTTCTTCCTTTCCAATACGAATCCCCTTGATCCCCTTATGTTGTCTTATTGCTATTGCTAGAACTTTAAGCACTATATTGAAGAGGTATGGAGAGAGTGGACAGCCTTTTCGTGTTCCTGATTTTAGTGGGATGGCTTTGAGTTTTTCTCCGTTTAATTTAATGTTAGCTGTTGGCTTGCTGTAAATAGCTTTTATTATATTTAGGTATGACCCTTGTATCCCTAATCTCTCCAAGACCTTTATCATAAAGGGGTGTTGAATTTTGTTGAATGCTTTTTCAGCATCTAATGAAATGATCATACGTTTTTTTTTTCTTTCAGTTTATTTATATGGTGGATTACATTGATGGATTTGCGTATGTTGAACCAGCCCTGCATCTCTGGGATGAAGCCTATTTGCTCATAATGGATAATTTTTCTAATGTGTTCTTGGATTCTGTTCGCCAGTATTTTATTGAGAATTTTTGCGTCGATATTCATGAGTGAGATAGGCCTGTAAATCTCTTTCTTGGTTGGGTCTTTGTGTGGTTTTGGTATCAGGGTAACTGTAGCTTCATAAAAGGAATTTGGCAATGACTCTTCTGTTTCTATATTGTGAAATATATTAAGGAGTATAGGTATTAGCTCTTCTTGGAAGTTCTGGTAGAATTCTGCATTGAAACCATCTGGTCCTGGGCTTTTTTTGGAAGGGAGATTTTTTTTTAATATTTATTTATTTATTATGTATACAACATTCTGTTTGTGTGTATGCCTGCAGGACAGAAGAGGGCACCAGACCTCATTACAGATGGTTGTGAGCCACCATGTGGTTGCTGGGAATTGAACTCAGGACCTTTGGAAGAGCAGGCAGTGCTCTTAACCATTGAGCCATCTCTCCATCCCCCAAGGAAGGGAGATTTTTGATAATAGTTTCTAGTTCTTTGCGACTAACAGGTCTATTTAGATCGTTCTCCTGGTCTTGGTTTAGCTTTGGTATATGGTACTTATCTAAAAAAAGTCCATTTCTTTTGTATTTTCTAGTTTTGTGGCATACAGGCTTTTGTAGTAAGATCTAATGATTCTCTGAATTTCCTCTGTGTCTGTGGTTATGTCCCCCTTTTCATTTCTGATCTTATTTATTTGCGTGTTCTTCTCTGTCGTTTAATTAGTTTGGATAGGGGTTTATTGATCTTGTTGATTTTCTCCAAGAACCAACTTTTTGTTTCATTGATTCTTTGGACTGTTTTCTGTGTTTCTATTTTGTTGATTTCTGCCCTCAGTCTTCTACTCCTCCTGGGTGCGTCTGCTTCTTTTTTTTCTAGAGCTTTCAGGTATGCTGTTAAGTCCCCAATGTATGCTTTTTCCGTTTTCTTTAAGTGGGCACTTAGTGCTATGAACTTTCCTCTTAGCACTGCTTTCATCGTGTCCCATAGGTTTGAGTATGTTGTCTCTTTATTTTGATTAAATTCAAGGAAGACTTTAATTTCTTTCTTAATTTCTTCCTTGACCCAGGTGTGGTTCAGTAGTTGACTGTTCAGTTTCCATGAGTTTGTCGGCTTTCTTGGGGTAGCATTGTTGTTGCCTTCTAACTTTAGTCTGTGGTGATCTGATAAGACACAGGTGGACACTGATATTTTTTTGTATCTGTGGAGGTTTCCTTTGTTTCCGAGTATGTGGTCAATTTTCAAGAAGGTTCCAGGAGCTGCAGAGAAGAAGGTATATTCTTTCCTATTTGGGTGGAGTGTTCTATAGATGTCTGTTAAGTCCCATTTGCTTCATTACCTCCAACAATTCTCTTAATTCTCTATTAGGTTTCTATCTGATTGA